GAGAGAGAGAGAGAGAGGGGGGGGGAGAGAGAGAACTTACCTACATGAACAAGCACAGTGTTTAAAAAGAGTAAAAGAACACTGCCACTAGTGTTAACTCAAGTGTGACAACCCAGATAAGAAAATGGCCTTTTCAGAATAGAGAGTCTGCTCGAGTGCACGTTACGGCACTCTTGTTTCCCCCAGTCACAGAAAGAAGATGAAATACATGGCTTGAATGGATGATAAAATATCGTTATCTGTATAACAAACTGTCAGTGCAGAAATAATGCAGGCAACAGCTGCGGGGAGATAGGGTCTGAAGATAGGTGTTATTTATATATATATATATATCCTCGCCTAGGACAAAGACACAAAAATATGAGAGAAAACATGTGTGACAGATATTTTCAAATTTACACTACAACAAAAGTGGAAATGGGCTGGTCACATCATTAGAATGAAGAACAATATATGGAACACCCCCCCCAAAAAAAAAGTACGGAATGGGAAGCGGGGAAAAGATCTAGAGGGGGACTGGAAAGAAGATGGTAGAACGACATCAAAGAAAGGATGGGTGCAACCTGGAAGCGGGAAACAGCAGACAAAACAGAGTGGAGGTTGTTGTTGGGAGGGCTAACTCCTGTAGTGGATAAACAATGCCTTAAAAGAGATTTTTTAAAAATATATATATAGATAGATAGATATATACCTGTTGCCTATATATTATATCTCGTTGGCCAGCTGTTGTAATACACTAAGCCCAACATTTTTGGACATTTTTTTTCTTATGACGACTACGTAATCTGTGGTATCGTTTGTATGTGCTTAATGAATATTTTATCAAAATTCAAATTCTAAAGGTTTAAAAAAAAAAAAAGGCAAGAAAAAATAAATAATTTAGGTACAATTGTTTTAGACATGAAACCGCTCCCCCCCGTGTCAGATTTTACTTTTTGGACTAAATACATTTTAACAGCTTGCCGAGGATATTTAATATATTGTCATCATGAGTGTTATTATTATTATCATTATTATTATTGGTAGTAGTATACTATCGTTATTATTGATATATCCTGTTTGTTGTTTTATGATATAACACCCCAGTGCAGGAGGCAGGATCCCTCTAATGGTGGAAAAACTGGTGTGAACGTCTGTGTTGGGATGTACCTTTATTTGTGGCATTTGCTTTGTTGAATAACTTTTTTGTTTTCTTTGCTTCTTTCATCAAAAAAAATTTTTTGGGGGGGGCTCCTGGGACCAGTTGCTTGCTTCTTCTTTCCTATCAAACATCTATCATCTTTATCTCCCCTCCTTTTTTTGTGTTTGTTACTCTCTTGTAACACCTCTAATCTTCGGCACTTATATGACCTTATGCAGTTGCGAGCGCCGTTAAACCTCTACTATAACTAAACTAAAACACTTACCAAAACAAATAATAACAAAAGTTTTTTCCCGCTGGTATTTCAGAATTCCCCCAAACCTGACAGTCCACCATGTCTAACGGCTCTCTCATCAACGGCTGCAACGGCAACAACAAGGACCTGCCCCCCTCCCCCGGCCACATCCTGGTCACGGGTGGTGCTGGCTACATCGGCTCCACCCTGGTGCCCATGTTGTTGGAGAAGGGATATGAGGTCGGTAGAACTTCTCTTTCTCTGAAGTATTCTTCCTCTCCTTTTTCCGTTTCCGTTTCCTCCTCCTCCTCTTCTTCCTTCTCTTCTTGTTCTTCTTGTTCTTTTTCTTCTTGTTCTTTTTGTTCTTCATGTTTTTTTTGTTGTTCTTCTTCTTCTTCTCCTTCATCTCCTCCTCTTCCTCCTCCTCCTCCTCCTCCTTTTTTTTCTCTTTCTTCCTGGGTGGTTGGTGGGGCGGTCTGGGGTGGTTTGCTCCTTCTTTCCTATCAAACATCTATCGTCGTTATCTCTCCTCCTTCTTTTATTTGTATGTTACCCTCTATTAACACAAAATCTTCGACATTTTTTTATCTGTTTGTGTTGCAAGTGCTTTAATACTCTTATGTAATCCTAAAACTACGAGGCCTAATACTACTACTTTTTCTTCTATTACTACTTACTCCTTCTTCTATTACTGCTTCTACTACCACTACATTTGCTGCGGTTCGGTGAGTGCGTTGTGCTTAAGTGTGTTTGTTGAGTAAGTATACAGGGGTGGTTGGTCGGTGCTCTGCTGTAGTTTGCTCCTTCTCTCCAATCAAACATCTATCGTCTTTATCTCTCCTTCTTCTTTTTTTTGTGTTTGTTACTCTCTTGTAACACCTCTAATCTTTGACTCTTTTTGATCCGTTTGTGTTGCAAGTGCCGTAATATTCTTACTAAGGTGGGTGGTTGGCGGGTGCTCTGGTGTGGTTTGCTTCTTCTTTCCTATCAAACATCTATTGTCCTTATCTCCCCTTCTTCTTTTTTATGTTTGTTACTCTCTTGTTACACCTCTAATCTTCGGCACTTATATGACCTTATGCAGTTGCAAGTGCCGTAAAACTCCTACTAAAACTAACAACATGTGCCGTAGAACGCTTACTTAAAAACATAACGCAAAATGAAAAGGTGTGCTGTGTTTGCCCAGGTGACGGTGTACGACCAGTTCCTATGGGGGATCAGCCCCCTCCTCCCCGTGGCCGAGCACCCACGTATGAACATCGTGAAAGGCGACATCATGGACAAGGAGAGTCTGGCGCAGGTCATGGAGGGTAAGACTGGGGTGGTGCACCTGGCCGCCATTGTGGGTTACCCAGCCTGCGATAAAGACAAGCCCAAAGCACAACAGGTAAGCTGACCATCGTCGAAGAAGGTTGGAGGGTGCCCCTGGTTGGTCCTACTTGTGTTGTGTTCCTCTATTAGATCTGTCTCTTTGTTTACTCTTCCTCACAGTAAACCAACAAAAGGTTCCCCTTGTAGTCACTGTCTTAGGGGTCCTTCTCCGGTGCTTCTCTTTTATCGAACTGAAACGCTCTGGTCATTAACACTAAAATCCTTGGATGACATGGGAAACTGCAGTCCTGACATTGTAGATGGTTTGCTGGTGGCCTGGTATGGTTTGCTCCTTCTTCCATAAATCAAAATCAGAAAATCAGACCTCTATCGTCCTTATCTCTCCTTCATTTTTTTTGTGTTTGTTACTCTCTTGTAACACCTAATCTCTGGCACTTATATGACTTAATTGTGTTGCAAGTGCGGTAAAATTCTTACTGAAACGCAGTCCTGACATCTGGGTTTTGTCTGTGGCAGGTGAACGTGGAGGGCACAAGGAACATCACGGAACTGAAGAAGCCAGATCAGGCCCTGGTGTACGCCAGTACAGGCTCCTGCTACGGCGCGGTGGACGGTGTGTGTACAGAAGAGACCAAGATCAGCCCGCTCTCCCTGTACGGCAGCAGCAAGGCCGGGGGCGAGGAGCTGGTCCTGGCGGTCAACGGCACAGCCCTCCGGCTGGCCACCGTCTTTGGCATCTCCCCGCGCATGAGGCTGGACCTCCTGGTCAACGACCTCACCTACAAGGCGCTGACCATCAAACACTTTGATCTGTACGAGGGTCACTTCCGCCGCACATTCTTGCACGTCCGTGATGCGGCCCGTGCCTTTTTGTTTGCCATTGAAAATACCAAGGTCATGTCGGGCCAAGCCTACAACGTGGGGGATGAGCGCATGAACTTGACCAAGAATGATGTCGCCGCTGCCATACAGAACCGTGTTCCTACTTGCAAGATCATTCCATCGGCCGTCGGGGAGGACAAAGACAAACGGGACTACGAGGTGAGCTACGAGAAGATCAAGAAGCTGGGCTTCCGCTCTACCGTCTCCGTGGACGAGGGCATCATACATTTACTCAAGATCCTGCCCAACATGCTTGATCTAGAGATTGCACGCAGCAAAAATGTCTAGGACCAACCCAATGACTGGCATATTTGTTAAATTTCCTGTATTTGTCTAGAGGTTTTCACTGCAGCAACTGTATTTTGCTTTGATGTCATGCACGAAATTCCTGTATTCATTTTTGTAATTCATACCTTTATGTGCATGTTTGAGGATGAACGAACAGTCTATTGTTTTGAAGCCTTATTTTGATACCTAATAATTTTATCCCTATACTGTATATGAGTCCGGAAATGTTCATAGACTATTTATATAAATACTGATGTGACAACATGAGGGACTGGATGAGACGTCATTGCTCTCCATGTTTGCAACCATATGCTCACCTATGTGAGTCAGTCTGGGACTGACAACTGTTCTGGCTGTATGGGTATCTGGTTATCAAGTGTGTATCTAGAATAGACCCTTTTGAAAGCTCTGTTGCCCTATATATTTCTTCCAGTCATTATGTGAAAGCAGGCATTCTTTCATTACTTTTTTTAGACTGTCCCTACATTGGAAACATAGATGATGTTACTTTTAATGACAGTTCATGTTTCTCTTTATGTATATTGCTTTAAATATATCTTTTGCTCACAAGCCAGTCAGTTCTAGGGAGTATGGTTCGCGATGGTGACATGCATCTGGTTTCAAGAGTTTTCTCTCCTCGAAACTATGTTCATATGGTTGGTTGGTGTATGCTCTGGTGTGGTTTGCACCTTCTACTTTTACTTTTCAGGGGTACACTCATCCTTGCCTGTTCCTGGTGCCCTGTCGTGGTGGTCATTGTGCCAACTCAGCTTATCCTGTTGCTGGCCACAAAGTGTTTGTGCGTCCTTTGGTTTCAGACTTTGTTGAGAAACGTGTTGAATGTCCAGTACTCGTTGCCTGTTGCTACAAACGTGAATGGACAAACTAGAATGGCAGCAGGCAGTGGGATACGGTCAGAGACGGGGTAGTCTGGGTCAGACTAAAGGCGGTGAGATTTTGTCAGGAGAGTAGACGTAAGTCAAAATGGGGTCAAAAGAAGGCTGTAAGGTAATGTTGAAAACTGGACAAAACGCAGATTGAAATGAAGGCTGTGAAATATTATCAGGAAGTTCGGTGATAGTGGTTGTTTTAATACTAATTTATTGTTTCATTTTGCTCATTTATTTTAATTTTGATAAGGTTTGATTTATATGGACCATATAAATGAAGTTTTGATGTGCAGGTTTATTAAGCTTGATCAGAGAACGCTTACTGACCAAGAATACCAGTCTTTGTATGTCGCTCATAATGTGACCTTTGAACTTTGTCACTGTTGTAAGAAGTATAAGCCTCATGTTTACTTTTATTTCCTGCTGATATGATGTAATGTTTGTCATATCCTGATAGTTCCCAATTTCAGAATAGATAAAACTATGTAACGTTCAGTGTGATAGCAAGAATGTAAGGTTCTGGAATGTTTCATATCTTTATATTTCTTGTTTTGTCAACATGCATTCTTTACTTTTCACGCCTTTTGTTCAAATGGGGAAGGGGTGCAAGGGGGGATGTTTTAAAAATCTATGTTCTGTTATAATTTTTATCCTTTTTAATGATACATTTGTCATGTTGGTGGCTTTCTTCAGACTTGGCATAGTTGTGCGTGCCTTTTGCCATCATTATAACTGCCATGTGTGAAAGGTTGTGTGATCATTTGCCCCGTTTATTTTGTTGTTTTATCTGTTCCTGATTTGAATATGCAAAATCAAAATTAATGGACGCACTTTGTTGTTATTGATAGGACAAAAATCACTTTCATATAGTGTGATTATGTTGTTATGTCTATTTTATTTACTTTAAGCGTTCTGTCAGTAAAATATGCTGTATATAATACTATAATACAGCTTCATTAACATGTTCATTGTTCTTGTGTCAGTTTGAAATTTTGTCTGACTTGTCCTGCTCATGTGCAGACTCTTGTTAATGGTTCAATTAAATTTGTGGTGACATTATATTCCTCTAAGCTCAAGGGAAACTTAATAGACCAATGTGTGTTGATAAATAACCAAAAGGCAACTGCTCCCCATCTCTGTCCCACTTTGCTGACGAAATGCATTTGAAAGTATGTACTGAACAAAAGAATACGTAGTGAACAAAAGAATTCTGTGGTGCTTTAGTTTTCTTGATTTTGTGATAAAAATTATTGTCGATCAAGTGCTGAAACAACTAATTCAATCCTTTTTGGAATTTAGGTAAGGATCAATTTGTCTTTTGTATGTGAGTGATTTTTTAAAGTTTCTTTTTTTTGTCGTAAGTTCTTGAATGTGTTACAGTATGACTAACCTTTCTTTAATGATTTTTGCCCCGGAACTTGCTTGTGGAGAAGCTTTGTGAGGTTGGATTGTTGAAAGTCATTAAAAGCCTTTAAGGAATTTGTGACTTAAAAAGTCCAACCTAAATTATCTGAGAGTAATTTTGTTCTTTAACAAAAAAATATTTAAAAACCCCAGACAATGTTATCAGTTTTCTTGTGCTGTGTGCAAACAGTTCCTGTACCAGCACAACAAGCTATATAAATGCGCGACAATATTTTTGCTTTGAGTTCATGTGATGATTCATTCCATTCTTCTTTTATTGATCCAGATTTTGTTCCAGTGTTGAAGCTCATCATGTACCAATCCCCAGTGCTTTTGACAATTTGTTTCCTCTTGATGCTCAGTAGACTCAATGCCATCTTCTTGATAGCTTTATGATAATTTTTACACTAATTAAGTCTGAAATCCCATTTTTCTATCGGAAGTGCTTAAGGGGGAATAGGCCTTTGCCTTCTGAATCTTCTGTTTCTTTTTTTAATTTTATCAAGCTACTGAAACTTTCTCTCATTTTGTCAATTTGTTTTGTGTATTGTATTTAATATGAACAAACAATGAACTTTCGATGAGTTGTATCCCTGCCATCCATTTGTCTTTTTCTATACCCTATGCTCTTACAGCTTAAAGCTTTATCATGTCACAAAAGCATTTTTGTATTAGTTTTATAGAAGCATACAGTTCAGTTTGTTGCACATGTATCGAAATGCTAAATTTATACAATGAAACTTGAGGGTGGTGGGCTCTGGATTTTGCCTTCCAAAATTTCTCTTTCCTCTTTGAATTTTGTCAAGCGCCTGATGAAGCTCTCTCATTTTATTTGCATTAAAAAAAACATTTGATATGAGTAATGAAAACTTGCTGTAATGAACCGTATACATGTCGTCCATTTGCCTTTCTTTTCTTTTGTTCTTTTTTACATTCTTCTCAATGTTTTTTCAAGCCTCTGAGGATCTCTTATTTTTATCTGCAACTCGTTCTGATTCATTTGCTTGACACTTATAAAAACATTTGATGTGATGTATACATGCCTCCGGTTTGTCTTTATTATATAGCCTTTTCTCGCTCTGAGAGCTTTAAGCTTTAACAAATATGTAAGCAGTATTTTGTCTAATTTTTATTGAAGAAAATAGTCCACTGAACATGAATCTAAACTCTAAAATCAGAGAAAAAGCCCTGCTACTGACTGAAGTGTCTTTAGGCAATTCCCAAAGGGGGGATATTAACATGTTCATATGCACTGTAGAATTGTAAATGGGCTGATTTATCAATGTCATGCTCATACTGTGTTGAAACAACATAGGGGGAACTGCTGCTTTTTCTTTCCGCATCCTTACTATCGTCATTTTCCTTCTACTCCTTTTGTATGGTTGTCACTCTCTTATGAGCTGCTATTTTATGGGGTGCCTTGATAATCGAAGCAGACTTTGTGCCGTTGAGGCTAGAGATCTGAGCAGAGTAAGCCTGATTCCCGTTTGGACTTCTCTGTTGACATCCACCCCTTGGTGCTCGTATGACATGCAGTTGCGAGCGCCGTAAAACCTTACTAAAACAGAAAAAGCCCTGATTCTGTTAAATGTTTCTCCTTGACACTGTTATCTTCTCCCTCGGTCCCTACCTTGTTTGGGAATCCAGTTCTGTCGTTAGAGTTCCTACCATAGTTTTCCTTGCAGAAATATTTATCTAATGGCCACAAATGTCCCATTAGAAATGAAGAACATGTGAAGGTTTTTGTCTCTCACAAAGCATTTGATAGTTTGCTGTAGCATTTCTGAGTAGAGGTTTTTTGTTTCCTGTGAAGACTTTGGTGTACTGAATAACTGTTGTCTCTCTTTATCTGTGGCTGCTAGTTGATCCTGCTGTTTCCTCCAACACTGACGTGTCCTCCGGTGAGTACTTCCTGCCTGTCAGGAACCGTTGAAAATTCTTGGGAGTTCTGCTCCATCGGTTTGTCTCTCCTGGAAGAGTGAGCATTTGAGTGGTTGGGTTGGGGGGGGTCCTGTGCTTTTGCCCTCTTACTCTCGGGTTGCCTTACATGGGAACAATCTGTATGTCGTTTGTCTTGAAGGTTAGCCTTGCTAGTGTCATGTGCTCTGTACATCTGTCATTTACTGGTTGTTCTCTTTGCATATCAGGGAGGGGATGCAAGTTCAATTCCCCCATGGGTTAGATATTTAAATTTAACTCTGACTTTCAAATGGGACATATCTCCCACCGTTCAGGCTGGCCCTGACAGACGAGATTGAAAGTATTCTGCTTCCTAATTGATGCAAATTTTGTTGACTGGGACTTGAGAAAATGCAAGAACTACAACAATGTAATGTGCTGCACGTGCTGCCCCGTACGAGTGATGGTTGTAGGGCTTCGGCGTGGCCTATTCTTTGACCCTGTTGTCATTACGGCATAGTTCTCTATCATCTCTCATT